ACAACAACAGCAACGACAACAACAACAGCAACAATAACAACACCACCACCAACAACAACAACAACACCAAAACCAAAAACAACAACAACAACAACAACAACAACAACAACAACAATCACTTTACCCGAACGCTCAGTGTTCTCACCAGTGCCAGGGTTTTCATGCGACGCCAGCCAATACCCCCACTTTGTGGGGGGGCAGTGCAAGCTCTACCAAATATCCACACGACTCTTCGCCACCACCCACACCCAGCTTCCCGCCCTATGACGTTCGGACACTTCACTTCGTGGCCTGCGGACGACCGTGGCTACTACACTGGCGTGGAGTACACACCCACAGAAGTTGTTAGGACAGCGCGCGCGGGTAGAAATTTTGAAAAGTCGTGCAGGTGTTTTTCGAGGACCTACGGTGCGATTCGTGTGATTTTATGATGCGCGGTGCTAAAATTCTTAAGAAGCCCAATGGTTTTTGGAGATTTCGGCGTGCGCGCGCGAAGAAAAAACGAATGTGTCCCGCATGGTATTATTTGACAGGGATGATGGCCCTGGCAGGTGCGCAACCGTTGTCGCAGAAGTTCGAAAAAGTTGCTCGCAAAAGCCCGTTTGACAGAAATGTTTAAAAAGTGTTGGGTTTCCTACGAATCCGCAAGAGCGCGCGGGATGAGATTTTGACATTTTTTTGTTGAAAAACCATTGGTTTTTTGATGTTTTTATGTTAAAATCGCTCCGAACACTAAGCTTTTGGAAGGATTTCGTCTTGCGCGCGCGAATGTCCACTTTACCTTATTTTTTGCAAGGGATTCTTGAAATTTGATTATATTAGAACAAGAAATGTCATTTTATAGTGTTTTTTGCAAGGGAAAGCGGATTACAACAAAACAACCGGATCTTGATCACATCGAATTACCTGAGGCTTCCTCACGAAAATGATGAAAATGTAGCTGCGGCCTAGGCGGCGCAGGGGGGCCGTGCACCAGGGGTCCCAACAATAATTATTCTTTAGAATTAATAATGTTCAACAACAACAACAACAACAACAACCCTCCCCAAACGTCTTCGGCGCTTGCCGCGGCCAACAAGTTCCGTCTTACCTTAAGTGCCGTCGGCTTCCAAAATAAGGATCGAACTTGTACCGATGCACGCCCTATCAGCGTCGAACCCTGGCTCGCGATGCCAACCCCTGTGCCCCCCAGGAACCTCTCGAATCACACTGGGCGTGGAGACCACGCGGACACGACAAGGAGAAAGAGGAGAGGAGGCACAAGGTAAAGGCGCTTGGGGATGTGGCCCGCACGGCCAACAACCGACAGCCGCTGACTCTTCTAACCTCCCTGCGTAGCGATAGTGGGGGGGCCCCAGGCTCTTGGGCCTGCCCGCGGGAGCGAGGGGCGGAGGAGGAGGAGGAGGAGGCGGAGGAGGAGGAAGGGGAACTACGGGGCGGGACTGGCTCGGGGGGAGAAATGTCATCCTGGAATCGGCGGCACACCGCCGACAGATCGGCGATAGGCCCCCGACAGCAAAAAACAGCAGGCTCCTGGGTTGGGTGGGCCATCAGGCCCCCGTCGGCGATGAACGGGCGGTTGGGGCTCGATGCGGTCCCTTGGAGTACCATGTGGGACCTGCTCTAGAATCGGAACACACCGTAGACGGACCTACCCTTTCTCCGACCCTGCACCGCGCCGAACGCAACGGCCACGTTGTCCATGAACGCATCCACCCCGAAGGTGTCTACGGACGTCACGGCCCCCAATGTGTCCACAGACGCTTCGGGCTAGGACGTGCTATTTGACATCGGCCCCAGATGCTGGTCTTCGAGAAGCAGGCACGTAGGCTTGGCCCTCCGATGCGTTCCCCCTCACAAGTAACCACAAGCGAACCCTGCCCCTGCAGGTCAGGTTTCCAAAATGCCGGCCGGTGCCCACGATTCGCCAGATGCCTGCAGCCAAGCGAACCCCCAGCGGGGGGTTCCCGATGCTCCGGCGTCGATTGGACCCGCAGGAGTATGGCTCGCAGGTGGTGACAGGCCTTGAGCCTATCCCTTTCCCGGGTGGTTTTCGGCGCATAACTCGGGCCTCCGGCGGCCGCTCGTGACGACCCGGGCGGCACCCCCGGACCGCCCCCGGCGAGGCGCAGCTGCTGGAACGCATCTCGAGGCTGGACAGCTGCCAAGAATCCGCGAAGACGTCCGGACATCCTCCGCTCGCTTACACCACCCCCCTGACGCTGCGCCTGAGGAGCCTTTTCCCTCCCGAGGCGGGCCCCAGCAGCGCGTCCAGCCGCGCCGCGAGCGCCCGCGCCCGCGGCGCGTCGAGCGCCCGGGCGGCGGCGGCCTCGGCCTCTGAGGGGCAACGTCAAGCCTGCCATCGCTCGGACGTCCACTCCCTGTGCATGTTTCGGTTTTGTGCGCGCTTTTTTTCGCAAGATAATCCACAGGATGCTCCTCGATGGTCCCCGGCAAGAGAAATGCACACGTCCGAGCGATGCCGAGCGGGGGACCAGCTCAACGGCTTTCTCGTCAGTTCTACAAGCGTTTCCGTTGGTTCTCGGCGGCCTTCCAGCCTCGGGGTGCCTCCCGGCGGCTGCGCCTCGCCGAGCGCTTCGGGGGCTCACGGATAGCCCCGAACGGCTGCGCGAGGCCCGAGCTGAATGGCGAAAACCACCAGGAGCCCAGCTCAGGGGGGGGAACATCGACCTGGAGTCGGCAATACATCGCCGATAGATCGGCGACAATTTGGCCGTCTCAAGCTCCTGTCGGCAATGAATGGGCGATTGGGAGTCGATGAATTCCCCCCCCAAAGCCTATCCCCCCCTCGTCGCACCTCCTCTTCCTCCTCCTTTTCCTCCTCCTCCTCCTCCACCTCCACCTCCTCCTCCACCTCGTCCTCCTCCCCTCCTCCTCCTCCTCCTCTCCTCCTCTCCTCCCCCTCCCCCTCCTTCTCCTCCTCCTCCACTTATCATTATTATTATTATTATTACTGTTATTATTATTATTAGTATTATTATTATTAATATTATTATTCTTATTCTTATTATTATTATTAATATTATTATTAATATTATTAGTATTATTATTATGATTATTATTACTATTATTATTATTATTATTAGTAGTAGTAGTAGTATGTTTCTTATTATTCGTCTTATTCATAGTTTTCGTATTATTATTCCTCTTCTTCCTCTTCGTCCTCGTTTTCCTCTTTTTCCTCTTATTCCTCTTCTTCATCTTCTTCCTCTTCTTCCTCCTCCTCCTTTCCACAATTAAGGAATATGGATACTATTCTCCTCTCGCCCCTGGAGGCGTCCAAGGATTGTTCGGCCTCCCTCAGCGTACCTATTTTTACACACAAGATTCCCAGGAGTTGGGTTTTCGCTCGGTTTGTTTTCAAAATGCTGCTCTCGCTGAAGCGCTGGCCTCATTTTCGGGCTACCGCTCGCTCCGAATCGTGCTCCCGCTGCAGCGCTGGCCTTATTTCCGCGCTTTCGCTCGTTCCGAATCGTGTTCCCGCTGTAGCGGTGGCGTGATTATCTCCAGCGCCATGCCACGGCATGTTTTCAGTCATTCTAAATAGGCTCCAAAATCTAAAAAAATGCTTACCGAAGAAACCATCGGAAATGATTACACATTCGGTGTCGATTCTCTGATTTTGTGGGCTGCCGAAGCCCCCCACCCACTTTGGAACGTCGCCACGCCTTGCTATGTCATGATCTGCAACCCCATGCTATGCCATGTAATGCTATGCCATGCTACGACATCCGATTGTGCGAATAGAAAGGAGATCTACGCCATGGTAAGGGATGGGAGGGAGGGGTAGGACGTCAGATATGACGCGAGCGCACCTAGCTTGCCACTCCCCGTTCCCCTCCCCCTGCCCCTCCCCCTCCCCCTCTCCCTGCCCCGCATTCCTCCTCCTCCTCCTCCTCCTCCTCCTCCTACTCCTGCCGCTGCTGCTGCTCCTCCGCTTCCTCCTCCTGCTCCTCCTCCTCCTCCTGCTGCTGCTGCTCCTTCTCCTCCTTCTGCTCCTCCTCCTCCTCCTCCTCCTGCTGCTGCTCCTCCTCCTCCTCCTCCTCCTCCTCTCCTCCTCGCGCTCCTCCCCCCTCCTCCTCCCTTCTCGTCCTTCTCCTCTTCCTCCTCCTCCTCCTCCTCCGCCTCCTCCTCCTCCTCCTCCTCCTCTCTTCCTCGTTCTCCTCGTTCTCCCCTCCTCCTCCTCCTCCTCCTCCTTCCTCCTCCTCCTCCTCCTCCTCCTCTCCTCCTCCTCGTTCTCCTCGTCCTCGCCCTCCTCGACGCCCCTGGGCCTCCGCCTCCGCCACGAGCCGCTCCAGCCGCGCCACAGTGCCGAAGCGCGCCCGATGGCGGCCCTCCGCCCGCCGCACGCGCGCCTCCAGGGCGGCCCGGTCGCTCCGCTCCAGGGGGGCGATCGGACGACCCGCGCGGCTCCAGCAACGTAGTCGTAGTCGTAGTCCTCCTCCTCCGCCTCCTCCTCCTCCTCCTCCTCCTCCTCCTCCTCCGCCTCCTCCTCATCCCCCTCATCCTCATCCATCCTCCTTCCTCCTCCTCCTCCTCCTCCTCCTCCCTCCTCTCATCCTCAATCATCATCATCATCATCATCATCATCATCATCATCATCATCATCATCATCCATCATCATCCATCATCCTCATCCTCATCATCCATCCTCATCCTCATCCTCATCCTCATCCTCATCCTCATCCTCATCATCCTCTCCTCATCTCATCCTCATCCTCACCTCATCCTCATCCTCATCCTCATCCTCATCTCATCATCCTCTCCTCATCCTCATCCTCATCCTCATCCTCATCCTCCTCATTCATCATCCTCATCCTCATCCTCATCCTCATCTCATCATCATCATCATCATCATCATCATCATCATCATCATCATCATCATCATCATCATCATCATCATCATCATCCATCATCATCATCATCATCAGCATCAGCAGCAGCATCATCACCATCATCATCATCATCATCATCATATCCTCTTCCTTCCCCTCTTCCTCTTCCTCCTCCTCCTCTCCTCTCCTCTCCTCCTTCCCTCCTCCTCCTCCTCCTCCTCCTCCTCCTCCGTCTCCTCCTCCTCCTCCTCCTCCTCCTGGCTCGTAGCTAGAGGCGCTCGAGTTCGTCTCACTGCCCTGCCTGGGGCCTGCCGTCGCCTCGCACATCGGCGGGGCGGTACACGCAGTCGCGCACCACCGGCAAGAGGGCGGATGCCTCTTGGGGGGAGAGGCCGAGCGGAGACCTGGCGCGCGGATGGTGGGAGAGGTGGAGGAAGAGGTGGAACGAGACAACCATGACGACGAGGGACGCGGGAGAGGGGGTGAGAAGACCGAGACGTGAAATAGGGCACGCTGGGAGCTCACGCCTCAAAATTGTGGAGACTAGCTCACGAAATTTGTGGCATACAAGGTAGTGAGCAATCGAATCTGGACGAGGACAGCCTAAAACACACAGACATTCGTCATCACTGTCGTGGAAGCGAGCGCGGGTGGGCCAGCCTCCGCAGAGAGTCTTTACACACGCCTGAGACCAATGAGGTTGAAGCTTAAGAATGGCGGCCTGGACAGGAGGCCAGTCGATGGACTCGATCACACCTCTGGCCTCTGGGAAATAGGCAAGAAGACGACGGGAGAAGGTGAGGTGCAGAGCGGAGGGAAAAAGAGAGGCATGTAAGGAGGCGGCAACCGACTTCTGCAATTTAAAGCGCGACCTGGGGTCGGCCAAGAGATCTTTTCCCACGGTGACGGCAGCAGCACCAGCGGGGGCCCACGCGGGGTGTCCCTTAAAGCCTTCGGCGGCCTCTTGGAGAAGGGAGACGAGGGGCCTCGAGGACCAGAAGGAGGGGGAGAGATCGTGGGTGACCAACCGAACCACAGGGAGGTTCCTGTCAGCGCAGTTCTGCATTCGTTGGAGGAGCTGAGGCCACTGCGGAAAAGTCTGAAGCGACCCTCGAATGAGGGTGGCAAGATTCTGTACTAGAATGCTCTGAAACTTCGGGCACCCCCAGTCCTGGAGGTGGAAGAAGTCAGCCCGGGCTAAGTCGCAGTGCGCGACCGCAAAGATACTGGCCAGGGAGGCGTGCTCTCGGCGAAGCATGAACTGCGGAAGAAGAGCGAACTGGGAAATATACCCGAGTGTGGACACGGCGCGCTGATTGTAAAGTTTGGCTGCAACGGTTGGGGGTGGCCTTGCACGAGAGATGGCGGCACAGCGAGAGGCGTACTTGGCCAGCGGGGAGGTCCAGATCTGTTCTGAGACTGCTGGTCCGAGGCGAACGCCTAGATATGTGAGGTCAGACACTATCCTGAATTCGGCCCAGGCAGGAAGGTTGGCTTTGATCCAATCCTGGACCCTGGAATGGAGCTCAGGGGTAAAAGCCGAACAGAGAGGAACCGCAAAGCATTTCGCGATCTTAAGATGGAGGCCCGCGACTCTGGCCGCTGCTTGGAAAACAATATACAATTTTGGAAGCCACTGGATTCTATGAATGACACTGCCTACATCATCTGCGCAGCAACGGACTATACCCCGTCGCTTGTCGATTATACTGGTACGGAAGTGGGCATTGAAAGGCTGGGATGCAAGGGCATAAAGGGCCCCCGAAGCGGGGCACCCTTGGACGATGCCAGACCCTATAAAGAAGAGGGGACGGAGAAGGGACCCGGCTTGCCCAAAGCAACAGACAAACGAGTAAATGAGCCTGTAAAAGGACAGAAGGGGAGCGGGGATGTGGCAGGCAGAGAGGACACGGAAAATCCAGGAATGGGAGATAGAGGGGAAAGCTTGTCCAAAATCGAAAGCGAGGAGGAGGGGGAGGCGCTCAGAGGCTCCAGGTTCAAGTCCAGACATTCGAGCGAAACCATCCAACTCGAAGACGTTATAGCCGAGGTTTCGTGTTGGGACGAAGCCACGCTGCATGGGGTCGACTGTGTCTGGGAGAGCTCGGGAGAGATTGCGCGTGCATACAGCTGTGACTACCTTGCAATCTGCATTCTTCAAGCCGAGCGGTCTCGTAGCACTCGCATTGCGCACTGGGCCAGCGCCGTCACCAGGCTCATCGCCTTTTGCCAGGTAGACGCCGCGAACATCGTTGAAACTTGATCCCATTGAGAAGCCCTGCAGGGTCCAGTGCATGACTTCGGCGAGGACTCGGGGGCCTTCGGGATGGAACTGCCAAGCCTTGTAGGGGAGCCCGTCGGGTCCAGGAGCACTAGGGGGGCACCTTCGGAGATGGCGGGCGATGTCGTATTCCGTGGGGGGCTTGATATTGGAGAGGTCAATGTTACCTAAGAACTTCTGGACATACACCTGCGCGGCGGCAGAGTCGGTGGGCTTTGCAGAGAAAACTTCCCCCCAGTGTGAGGCCAGCCCAGCGAGCATCTGGTTGGGGTCGGTGGTGACGGATCCATCGGGGAGGGCGAGACCAGCGAGGCCCAACTTGCGGCCCCACGGGAGCCAGAGCTTTCCACGGCGTTCGAGGCCTTTGAGTTTCCTGGCAAGCTTGGCTCTCACACGGGCTGGGGTCTCTTCACCTAACTGCTTCTTGATGCGCTTCTGGGCGTCGGCCAGCATGCGCAAGTGGATATCGTTAGACTGCTGCGTGAACCTCGTCGGGTCCTTCAGCTCAACTGTGGTCGTGAAAGGCGGCAACTCCAAATGATCTCGAGCGAGGACGTGAGCGCGAACGAGTTTCTCAGCGAGCGAACGGTCTTGATTCTTAAGGGCTCTGGCGATGGATCGGATCACGACGTAGCAGGAGAGGGAATCGAGCGGACGTTTGATGATAATGGAATCACGAGCGTGTCTGGCTGCCTCTTTCATGACCATCTTATGAAAATCAAGCAACTGCGGCACAGACAGGTCGTCGGTGTTGACCTGCTCGAGCACTGACTTAATGAAGGCTGCGTATTCGGGCGTAGCGTAAAGATCAGGGCGCACTGGCCTAGCATCAGGAGGGAGGGGACGTCGAGTAGATAAGGCAATTGAAATAGCTGAATGGTCGGAGAGGTTGGTACGAGCGAGGATCTCTGGAAGACCGTGCACCCGAGTGACAGAGCTTAGCTGCGTGAGACACCACCCAGGCCATGAGACAAATGCTCGATCAATCCGCGCCAGTGTCCTGGCTCCAGCGTGGTAGTGCGTGAAATCATCGCTGTCAAGCTCAACGAACTTAGCGAAGACGTTGTCCCAGGCGCGATCAGAGGTCCTCCGAGGGTCCTGAGACGAGGCGGCGACGGGGAACTCCTGGGAGGTGCCTGACGGGGCCAGCTCCTGGGAGGGGTCCGTCGGGGCGAAGTGGTCCAGGGGGACGGGCTGGGCCGCGGCGATATTGAAGTCCCCATGGACGATCACAAGCTTCCGAAGGGGGTCAGACTCAGCTTCCTGGAGGTCATTCTGGATGTGCCTGAGAACCCTGTCCCTGGTCGAGGCGTTGAAACCAAAATTGTGGACATTGTACAGAACCAGGGAAACATTCTCCTCGAAACAAAACTTCAGACGCAGGACCCGTCCCTGCACCAACGCCTCTTGGGAGACCGAGGGTGGGTGGGGATGATTCAGCGCCCGAAAATCGGGGAAGAACGTCAAAACTCCGCCGGCTGGATGTCCAGGCGTCGAGGGGCAGAATGAGGAGCAGGCCAAAACTGGTCGGTGAAGGTGATACAGAAAATTGTCGACCCGATGCCTATCCCCATGGGCCTCCTGGACAGAGACAATGGCGTGAGAGTGCACAAGCTTGGCGAGGTAGCTCAGCTTACGGTCTCTGAGCCTAGCGTCGTGGTGGGAGAGCGCCCTGGCGTTCCATGAAGAGCACGACAGAGAAGCCAAGGAAGAAACTGCTCCACACCACTGAGAGAAGAAAATGCTAAAGAGACCACTCGACCCGCTGCTCGTTGGACAGGAAGCTCGCGATCGCCGTCTGGATGCGAGCCTTGTCCATCTGGCAGGCGGTGAGATTGGTCTGCGCGAACTCCACGACGTGATCGGCGTCCTGGCTGGGGAGGACTCGTAGAAGCGGCTGCCATTTGTGCGACAGCTCTCCGCGGGCTTTGTTGGTGAAGATCTCAATGTGAGGATAGAGCTCGTTGAGAACACGGCGGATTTGTTTGAGCAGGAGCTCCGACTTAATCTGATACATGGACTTGTCGGGCGAAATGTGAACCTCCACTCGGGCCTGAAGCGTATCCAATGCGGAAAAGCGACGCCAATTGTTGGGCCCCAACTTGAGAGCCGTGACGGCCATCTCGACCTTGCGGGCGGCGTAGCCCGCGCTGCCCTTGAACTGCAGAACATGGCGCTTACTGGCGGGCTCGCCCACCACCTCGAAGTCCTCGGGCGAGATGTTGGCAGCGACGAGCCAATCGGAAATCGCATTGCCCAGGCTCTCACGGGTGATGAGGTTCTTGGAGCGGCACACAAGGATCGTCGGGTCGGGCGGGCGCGCGAAGTTGGAGCTGTTCTCCTTCTTCGTGGGCACCTCAGTACGCATGATACCCAGTTGCTGCTGCATCTCGGCAATCTTTTTGTCCAAAGCGACGATGGTGGCGGCCTGCTTTCTTTGGGTGGCTTCGACTCCAGCGAGGCGCGATTCGACCTGCTTGCCCAGCGCGGCGTAGCTGTCATTGACTGTGGAGGTGAGCTGAGCGATGGAGCCTTGGATCTGGTTGATGGCGGAGAGGAGCTGCGATTTGGTGGAGTCGACGTACAAGCGCAGGTCACCGTCGTGGGGGCCGTCGCCTTGAGCCGCAGCTGCGGGAGGGACGGGAACGGCAGGGGCAGCGGTGGCACCTTGGGGATGAGGAGGAGCTTTCCCGACGCCTTTACCTGCGAGCACGAGCTGCGAGGACGGAACTTGCTGGCTGGGTTGGCTGGCGAACGTGGGCATGACCTCGATAGCCTCAATGTCGTCAACTGTGAGAGCACCAGGAGCGGCAGCACGATGAGGCGAGCGGGAGCCACTACGCTCACCCATGGCTGAGGTCTGCTGGGAGCTCGGGGAGAAATCGTAGTCAGTCTGTGAGCAGGCCGCCTGTCGGCCCTGACAAAACTCGAGAAAGGCAACGGATAGTCGCCAAAGCTAATCAGAGTCAGCTATGTCACTTTAGCGTCCTCCTCCTCCTCCTCCTCCTCCTCCTCCTCCTTAGGAATGGCACGAGGAGGAGCGGGGGGAAGACGAGGATGAGGATGAGGATGCGGAGGAGGAGGAGGTGGCGCAGTAGAAGGATGAGGATGAAGATGAGGATGAGGATGAGGATAAGGAGGAGGAGGAGGAGGAGGAGGAGGAGGAGGAGGAGGAGGAGGAGAGGAGATCTCTAAGATCCAGCGGCTCTGGAAAATGTGTCGGGCGCCGCGGCCTTCTCAGAGCGTTCCGGAACGCTCCGAGAGCGCTCCGGAGCGCTCTGGAACGGGCTTATCATCGTCCTAGCCCCGTCCCCAGCAGGCGCAAGGGTTTCTACATTTTCGGAGGCCGTCTGGTGTGGAAGGTTTCGGACGGTCTTCTTTCGCTCTCGTCGGTTTCCGTTCGCTTTCGGCGTTTTCGTTCAGTACACTTTCATTCGCTCTTGGCGTTTCGGATTCGAGGTTCGAGGTTTTCGGGAGTTTTCATCGGTTCTCGGCGGCTTTCTAGCTTCGGGTCGCTTTCAAGCAGCAGCGCCTCGCCGAGAGGCGTTCTCGGGATGCCCTCATCGTCCCGAACGACCGCCAGAGAGCCGAGATATGACCCGAAAGCCAAGCCACGAGACCAGACCTCCAACGCATTGAAAACATCAGGAGGGAGGCTTCTGCAAAGATCAACCGAGATCGGGGCATTGCAATTTTTGTCACAGCGAGCGTTTTCGCCCCGTTTCGGGCCCCGGGGCCATCGCAGGTCGATCCGGCTCGAAAGGTTGCGCACGAAGGTCCGGAAAACCGCCGAGGACGGACGCCAGCGCCCGAAAGCACAGGACGACCACGGCGACGGCGGGGCCGAGGCCCGTGCCGGAGAGGGCCGTCGGCCGGTCGCCCCCCCAGGTCTGCAGCCAGCCGCGCTCCCTCTTCGGGGGTTGCTCGAGGTGCCCCTGGGCCAGGTGCCCCCAGCTTTTCGCTCCACTGCGGGACCCCCCCCTGGGGCCCTCTGGACCTCGTGAGGGGTGCTCTGGAGGCCGTGGGATACCCAGCCTCGAGCATGTCCCCAGCCCAAAGATCGGCAAGCCACAGGCGATGACATTCTCAGGGATGTGCCCTCAGAAACTGAGGGAGTCCTGCAACCCGGCACCGAGGCAAGGTGATGCCAAGCATAGGGATAGGCATACAGACGGACCTAGGCCCGAAGAAAATCTTCAAGAACATCGGACCCTCCGCCAGCGAAAACACACAGAACATCCTAGGCCACTCTCCCCAGGATGCACAAGAACATCCAACAAGCACGAAGACCATGAGGTCACCCTCCCCGAACCGACCTCGATCTTATACCTCGGTCCGACTGTATGCTCAGAGGAAAGAAAACCACCATAAGCATCAACTTTTGGAGCGCGCTGGGAGCGGCGCCGGAGGCGCCGCCAGGGGGGGGCCCAGCGCGGATCTAATAGATCCGCGCGGAACGCCAACAGTCTGTGCTCATATGGCGTGCTCTCTTCTTATCGATGGTCCTGGGCGCCTCAATGGGAATCCTGGGGACACCTTGGGACAGGGGCTCCTCCTCCTCCCCCTCCTCCTCCTCCTCCTCCTCTTCCTCCTCCTCCCCCTCCTCCTCTTCCTCCTCCTCCTCCTCCTCCTCCTCCTCCTCCTCCTCCTCCTCCCAGCGACGCCCGACCTCTCCAGCAGCGCCTCGGCCGCGGCCTCGAGCCCGCGCGCCCGGGCGGGCGCGCCGGGGCGCCCCGGGCGCGCGCCGCGCGGGCTGGCGCTCGCCGTCTTGCGGGCCCCGCGCGCGGGGGGCCCTCCCTGCGTGCAGCTGGACCAGGCCCCGGGCGCGCCGTGGAGAGATCACAGCGGGCAGCTGGCGTTCGTTTGGACACGTCGTTCATTTCTAATCGTGCTCATTTCTGATTGTGCTCATTTCTAATTGTTGAAGGCCCTCTATAGTGGCCAAGAAGAGGCCCAGGATAGAACAATTAGAAATGGAAGGATCTTGGCCCCCCCAAAAGCCAAAAAACTTTCGAATACTTAGAAATGAACAATGGGTATGGAAACCCACCTATACAGTAGGGGCTCGACCACGAGAAGCCTTCCACGAGAAGCCCAACCCTGAGGCCCCCCAGGACGTCCCCTGATTCTTGGAGTGGGGGCGTCACCCTTTCCACAGCGAAGCCACCGAAACCCAAGAAGCCAGGGGCACCCTGGGAAGCAAGCAGGGTGCTTCTTCGCATGGGCCCCCGCTCTGAGGCGTTCGTTTGTATGGAAGCCCATCTACAGTCAAGATGTTGGCGGGTTAGCGGCAAATTAGGGACAGGCGGCGGTGACTGACTGACTAGTTAGCCGCACACGGCCCGCGCCAGCCATCCACCAATCGCCCCCAGATTCGCCGTTGGTGGCCGCGAAACGCCAAAAGAAGACTTTCGGCGAAATTCAAGGCTTCCACTAAAACGAGCCCAAAATGAGTGCTGAGATCTTCACCATGCTTTATCTGAACACGGAGCGCGTCTGGGTCACGAGAGGCCTCCTTGCCCTCCTCTCCTCTCGCGGAGAAATGCTCAAGAGTGGTTGCATCTGGCCTCGTCCCAAGCCTCCTCTGCGCCAGGCCGCCCTGGCCCCGAAGTGGGCCACCCCATTCGCAGCGCTCTGGCACCCGACTCGCTTCCCTCGTGCCCTTCATGGGCCCGCTCTCGATTTCGTCAAGGATCTACTGACCCAGGTCAATGCAGACACGGGTCAATGCAGGATTCTGCAGGATCCTGCAGGATCCTGCGAGGCCTGATGGGGTCCGAGTAGATGGGGTCGGAGGATCACGCCGCATCGGCGATGCATCGCCGATACATCGGCGACGTCGGCGGAGCTTCGGCGACGCCTGCGCAGAGGAAATCGGGCTTGACATGGAGCCGCATCGGCGATGCATCGGCGATACAGCGCGATCCCCCAACCCCATCTACTCGGACCCCATCTAGGAGGCTTAGAACCCTGCACGCTAACAAGGGTCAGTGCAGCCCTGGCCCTGCAGGATCCTGCAAGATCAGGCGCTCCGACGGACCCCCGCTTGCATGGACCCCCGTCTCTCTTGAGCCCCGATCTCGGCTTCTGGGGGCCCTCCCCGGGCCACGGGTTCGTCAAACCACTGCCTGGGACGAAAAAGCTGTCCCGGCAAGGAGTCGTCGAGACCTCTGGGGCCCCCTGGAGGTCTCGACAACTTCCCCGGGGGGATCAGCGGGATGTCAGGCAGGGTCGAGTCGAGCGGAGCCAGGTCGGCAGGAGATCCACAGACCTCGGCTCGCATCGACATCGCCGCGCCGGATCGGGCAGAACGTCGAAACTGGAATCGTGCACGAGCCGGATCGGATCGGAGCCCCGGGGGAAGCCATCCGAAGCGGCTCGGCGGGGTCGGAATGCGCCCCGCGGGCCCCGCATGCGCGTCGCGGGCGGGCCACGAGGCGGCCATCGGGTGCGCCGTGAAGCCCGCTGCGGCTGCGGACACAGGGTCAGTGCAAGGCCGCTGAGCCTCACTCGGGCCAGCAGCGCTTGGCGGCGCGCAGAGGGGGGTGGGGGGAACGGGGCGAGGCTTCGTGGAAGGAGGCTGCCTCTCAGAAGGCGCCGGCCTCACACCTACAGACAAGGCCCGCGCCTTCGAAGAAGCAGGGGTGCTGCTAAGAAGCCTTGCCCCCTCCCCCGAACCCCCCCCTCTGCGCGTGGCCGAAACGCTCCCCCAAACAGCTGCGCCAGAACTCTCGAGAGCCTCTGCAGGATGCTGCCGCCATCCACTGCGGGGTCGACGCGATCCAGCGCGCCAGGGCCGGCGCCAGAGACCCCGCCAGAGGGGGGGCCAGCGCGGATCCAAAAAAACCCGCGCGGAGCGCCACAAGTTTATGCTCATGGCGTTTTTTCTGCTTCGACTCGAAGGGCCTGGCAGCGGCCGAGGGGCCAAGGTGCCTGCGAAGGGCCTGGCGGCCGATGGGCCGACCCAGAGACCCGATGTCACGATTTTGTCCACGCGGAGTCCCCGGAAGTCTCGACCGCTTCCCCAGGACCGGTTTTTCTTCCCCCGCATCATTTCTTGACGGCCCCGGGGCCCGGCGAGGGCGCCGGGGAGAGGCCGAAAATTGCGAGAAACCTCCGTCTTTGATTTTTTCAACAGTGCGCTGGATCTCTGGGGAGAGGTGCACGGTTTCCCCCGGGGCCGAAGGCGACCCGAGGAGGAGGAGGAGGAGGAGGAGGAGGAGGACGAGGAGGAGGAGGGAGAGGAGGAGGAGGAGGAGGAAGGGGAGGAGGAGGAGGAAGAGGAGGGAGGAGGAGGGGGGGGAGGAGGAGGAGGAGGAGAGAGAGGAGAAGGAGAAGAAGGAGGAGAGGAGGAGGAGGAGAGGAGGAGGAGGAGGAGGAGGAGGAGGAGAAGGAGGACGACGAGGAGGGGTCGCCCAAGCCCTTCGGAGAAACCCTCCAGGGAGGGGTCGACGCCGTGAAAAAAACACGACGCCCAGGGCCTGAGCTCGCCGGCGGCGGCGCGCCGCCGGCGCTCGCGGCCGCGCGCGCGGGGGCGCCGGCGCTGGCCACCCGCGACGGAGGGGCGCCTTCGCCGCCGCGGGCCGAGGCCGCGGCGGGGTGCAGCCACAGGTCGCGCGCGGCCAGGTACCTCTCGAGGGGAGTCAGGTCGGGCGTGTGCTCCCACAGGGGGATCTGGGGCGAAAAATCAAAAATAGTAAAACTGATTCCAAACATACCCAAAGATGATCAAGATGATCAAAAAATCGTCCCAGACTATCTTTTACTATTTCGGACGCAAGACACCCTCGCAAGAAACCCAGCACTGAAAACCCGCGTGGAAGAGCACCTGGGGGGGAACCCTGAGCACCCAGCATTTCATTTGACGGCCGCGGGAAGTCATCGCGCAGCGCGCGGAGCGAAGAAGCTCAGGGCACTCTGACGAAAATCATATGGTTTCTTGATGCGCGACCCCACAGTACAGTGGAGGTCCGTCCAGAAAAAACCTCCCACAAGAAGCCCAACCCTGAGACCCCCCAAGAGGTCCATCGATTTTTGGTGTGGGCACGTCGCGCATTCCATCGCAAAGCCATCGAGACCCAAGAAAACCAGGGCACCGTGGAGGCAAGCAGGGTGTTTCTTGGCATGGGCCCCCACTGTAGAGTCAACCCGAACCCGTACCCAGAGGTCCAACGCATTGGAAAAGTCAAGGCGGAGGTTTTTCGTAATTTTCGGCCTCTATAGGGGCCTTCGCCGGGCCCCAGGACTGTCAGAAAATGATTCAAAATGACAAACCGGTCCTGGGGAATCGATCGAGACTTCCGGGGACCCCGTATTGAACAAATCACAACATCGGACCTCTGGATTGAGTCAACCCGTATAGGAAGGATGCCCGATAACGAAGCATGCAAGGGCCTCGGACGCCCATTTCGAAGCTTTCCGAGAGGGGCGCGGCCAGCGGAAGCGGCGAAGGATGGACCGAGGAGGCAAGGATGCGAGGGTAGCCGCTGGTCGGAAGGAGTAGGTAGAAACATGAAATAGGATGGCGTTGAAAGTAGGCTGGGTTGCGCCCGCCCCCTAAGGAGGACGGAAAAGGTGCAGCCACTCGATCATTGAGGCAGGAAGGCGCTCAAAGCAGATCGGAATCTGGAAATCCAGAAATACATACTTGCAACGACCGATGGGTGCCCTTGGGAAGGTTGTCCATCCTCACTATGCTGGTTGACTGTAGGGGATCGCCCAGGAGGACGCCACGATGAGTTTATCCGACCCCCATCCCCGGCGGCGTGGCCTGAGCCCCGCTGGGCGATTTACCTCCCTGGATGGAGATATAGGAGGTTCCCTTCGGGTTTCGAGTGTTGTATCCCCAACTGGGGTGGTAATCTGGTGGGGGTCTCGAAGGGGGTGGGGATGGGGATGGGGATCGGTTAAACGATACCGATGTAGGGGATCGCCCAGGAGGACGCCGCGAGGGCCAGAGAGAAGGCCACGAGGGCGCCACGAGGGCGCCAAGAGGCATCCCAAACGGACCTCCGACGGATTGAAAGACGGGCAGGGCGGAAGTGTTCCTCGTCGTCGTCTTCGGCGCCCAGAGGGGGGCCTCGCTGGGCCCGGGGACCGTCAAACAACTGTCCAGAACGAGGACAAAAAGGGCCCAAGGACACACAAATGCATACACACAAATTCGCCGGCCCAACGGGCCAGAGGCGTGCTAAGATCTCCGGTAACTGGTAAACAGTATTTCTGGTTCGCGCGCGCGGGGCGGCCCCTGGGGGTCCCTGGATCAAAAGTACCCCGGGCGGAGCCCGGGACACGCCCGGGACACGCCCGGGACATTCCCCCAGATCCTCCAGGATCGCCGCAAGAGGGCCCCAAGAGGCCCCCAACACAATCCAAGAGAGGTCCGAGACGCCCGAAGATCGCTCCACGGCGCCCAAGATGGCCTCCAGACGGCCCAAGACGTCTCCAAGATGGCCCAAGAAGCCTCCAAGATGCCCCAAGAGGCCTCCAGCAGCACTCCCATGAGGGCCCCAAGAGGCAAAAATCAATGCTTTTTCTTAGGTTTTGGACAAATTTGGGCGTTTCAACCTTTTCGGTTCCCCGACGCCCCTAAACGGCTCAAGAGGCCTCCAAGATCGCCCCAAGAGGGCCCAAGAGGCCCCAAAAGGGCCCCAAGACGGCCCAAGACGGCTCCAAGACGGCCCCAGAGGCCTCCAAGACGGCCCAAGAGGGCCCCAAGAACGCCCCCAACACGGTCCAAGAGAGGTCCGAGACGCCCGAAGATCGCTCCACGGCGCCCAAGATGGCCTCCAGACGGCCCAAGACCCAAGAGGCCTCCAAGAGAACTCCCAAGAGGGCCCCAAGAGGCAAACAAACAATGCTTTTCCATAGGTCTTGGACAGATTTGGGCGTTTTAACCTTTTCGGTTCCCCGACGCCCCTAAACGGCTCAAGAGGCCTCCAAGATCGCCCCTAGAGGGCCCAAGAGGCCCTCAAAAAGGCCCCAAGACGGCCCAAGACGGCTCCAAGACGGGCCCAAAGGCCTCCAGGACGGCCCAAGAGAGCCCCAAGAACGCCCCCAACACGGTCCAAGAGAGGTCCGAGAAGCCCGAATATCGCTCCACGACGCCCAAGATGGCCTCCAGACGGCCCAAGACGTCTCCAAGATGACCCAAGAAGCCTCCAAGATCCCCAGGAGGTCTCCAAGTGCATTCACAAGAGGGCCCCAAGAGGCAAACAAACAATGCTGTTCCATAGGTTTTGGACAGATTTGGGCGTTTCAACCTTTTTTCCCTACCTAGGCTCTGCCTAGAAGGGTTCTTACTTTCTTGGCTAAAGGGGGCGGGCAGTGTGCCTCACCCCGGGCGGTTCCCCCGGTTGCGCCCCCCTGGTTCCCCCGGTTGCGCCCCCTGGGTTCCCCGAGCTTAGCTTAGCTTAGCTTAGCTTAGCTTAGCTTAGCTTAGCTTAGCTTAGCTTAGCTTAGCTTAGCTTAGCTTAGCTTAGCTTAGCTTAGCTTAGCTTAGCTTAGCTTAGCTTAGCCTTAGCTTAGCTTAGCTTAGCTCAGCTTAGCTTAGCTTAGCTTTGCCTAGCCTAGCTTAGCTTAACTACCCTGAGCTTAGCTTCGCTTAGCTTTAGCTTAGCTTAGCTTAGCTTAGCTTAGCTTAGCTTAGCTTAGCTTAGCTTAGCTTAGCTTAGCTTAGCTTAGCTTAGCTTAGCTTAGCTTAGCTTAGCCTTAGCTTAGCTTAGCTTAGCTCAGCTCAGCTTAGCTTAGCTTAGCTTTGCCTAGCCCAGCTTAGCTTAGCTTAGCTTAGCTTAGCTTAGCTTAGCTTAGCTTAGCTTAGCTTAGCTTAGCTTAGCTTAGCTTAGCTTAGCTTAGCTTAGCTTAGCTTAGCTTAGCTTAGCTTAGCTTAGCTTAGCTTAGCTTAGCTTAGCTTAGCTTAGCTTAGCTTAGCTTTGCCTAGCCTAGCTTAGCTTAGCTTAGCTTAGCTTAGCTTAGCTTAGCTTAGCTTAGCTTAGCTTAGCTTAGCTTAGCTTAGCTTAGCTTAGCTTAGCCTAGCCCAGCTTAGCTTAGCTTAGCTTAGCTTAGCTTCGCTTCGCTTCGCTTAGCTTAGCTTAGCTTCGCTTCGCTTCGCTTCGCTTAGCTTAGCTTAGCTTAGCTTAGCTTAGCTTAGCTTACCCCATCTTAGCTTAGCTTAGCTTAGCTTAGCTGTTGCTTTCCTGAATGCTCCAACTCCTAGGTAGGGTCGCACTGGGATAATGGTTCCCCGACGCCCCTAAACGGCTCAAGAGGCCTCCAAGATCGCCCCAAGAGGCCCAAGAGGCCCCCAAGAGGGCTCCAAGATGGCCCAAGACGACTCCAAGACGTCCCAAGAGGCCTCCAAGACGGCCCAAGAGGGCCCCAAGAACGCTTCAAGAACGCCCCAAGAGGGGGTTCACGAAACAGAATTTCGAGCTCTTTGCCCTTAGAGGCCCCCGGGAGGCCCCAAGACGCCCTCAAAGGCCCCAAGAGGCCCCCAAGAGGCCCTCAAGAGGCCTCAAGAGGCCACCAAAAGGCGCTCTGGAGGCCTCCAAAAAACCCTCAGGAGGCCCCCAGGACGCCTCCAAGACTCCAGCCAGACGCGACTTGGGAAACGCGGGTCGGGGTGGTCCTCCTTCCCCGCATTCGGCCTCCAGCCTCGAGCCTCGACCCTCCACGACGACGACGACGCCGGCGGGCGGCGGCGGCGGGCGGCGGCGGCGGCGACGACGACGACGACAAAGGCGCTCCTCATCGCTCCTCATCCCTCTCCTCCTTCCTCCTCCTCCTCCTCCTCCTCTTCCTCCTCCTCCTCCTCCTCGTCGTCGTCCTCCTCCTCCTCCTCCGGTCCAATTAGAAAAAAGATGGTAAGAGAAACGCCACAAGAAAGTGTTCCTTCACGCCCGTGTCCGCAACGCCAGAGGACATCAGGACGATAACAGAGCCAATGTTAGCATTCAAAGCCCGCCACCCTCCGACACGAGGGTTCCCATATCGCATAAGATGTCTCTTCCCCCGGCTCGAACGGCCCCACAGCGGGATACCACGGGTAACACGCCCCCACGATGGCACCAAAGCCGTCAAACAATTGCAAACACCTAGAAGCCCCAAGAAAAAACATTAACACATTTATCGACAACTACACAGCTCCCGACGCCGCAGCTCCACACTGCAAACGACCACTCGGACAGGCGACCACGGTGCGACATTATGGGCCGGCGGAATGAGCGAAGCGATTTAATAAACGGATTCCCCATATTTTTCCATATGTCTGGGTTTTTGTCTTCCCCCCCACTTCCCATATGTTCCCATATTTTCCTGGGGATCGACGATTGATTGTGTCTGTGTGCTTTTTCCCCTCCTGAGAGAAACGGGTCCCCTGGGGAGTGGTCCAGAGCTCCAGGGACCTTTCGAGTAGGGGATCGATTACATGATTGAGCTGCCCCCAGAAGTTGGCCGCCGAATATACAAAGAAGTACGTGTGTTTCATGGCTTCGGCAAGAAGCCAAATTTTAGGGTATCGATCCCCTACAGTACTCGAACCTTCGGGGAGGCGTAAGACTCGGGCTCGGGGGACTCGGGCTGGCCTGGAGGAGCTGTCAAGGAGATGACGCGCCCCAGTCCGAGCTCGGACGCGAGCTCCCGCTGCAAGCATTCCACGAAAACTGGACCGTCGAGGATCGGGACAAGGGGAAACCAACAGGTGCCGATCCCGCTACTCCCCGGACCTCTCCCGGGGTCCGTTCTGACCAGGGCTTCAAAGGAGGACCAAAAAGGCGAAAACGAGGGAAGGGCAGCGGTCTCTCCTCTGAAGGACGGACCCATCAAAAAGCGTCGCGAATCCGAATTCCGGCGAAGTCGAGTATCTTACGCTTCCCCAGCCACAAGAAACCTTCCACACGAACCCCAACCCTGAGACCCCAGGATGCCCCTTGATTTTTTGTATGGAGACGTCACGGGTTCCATCGTAGAACCATCGAAACCCGAGAACCCAGTGCACCTTGGAGGCAAGCAAGGTGTTTCTTGGCATGGGCTTCCACTGTAGCTTACGTTTTCCCGGCACCTCTCGAAGAAGCGGCGGCGGTCCTCCACGCACTCGGACAGCTTCTCCGACGGCCGGGCGCTGCCAGACGTGGCCCAGGCCCTGGCCCAGCCCTGAGATGCTGGCGTCTCACTGTTCGAGTAGGACATCGACTACAGCATGGACGTACCTCCCAAATTAACATGTTCGTCGAATCTACTGAAAAAATAAATTGTCGTAGCTCTACAAACATTATACATACTTGCTGTAGGTTCGACGATCGTTGGGGGAGTGGCTCATGGATCTCCTACTCGAACTCTTTCCGAGCCGGGCGTTTTCGCTCAGACTCGGGCCCAGGACCCTCGCAGATCGATCCAGCTCGAAGAGTGGCGCAGAAAGACGGGGTCCGGGGCTCCGGTCGTGATTTTTCACGACGTCCCATTTTCTTCGAGGAGCCGGGTCTCAGGGAACACGTCCCCAGCTTCCCCAGGGAGGCGCAGACGGCTTCCAGAGCACCCCTCACGGGACCCAGGGGGGCCCCAGAGCGCTTAAGCAAAGGGTTGGGGCAGTCTCTGCCCCAGTGGACCCCCAGATCGCGGCCACACAAACTGGCAACGAGAAGGGAGCAGGCCAACGCGCGATGATGGATAGGTCGAGCACGTCAACACGTGTTGACGCGCGCAGGGCGCACGCCAGCGCGTGTTGACAACGCACCCCTCACGAGACCCACGGGGGGCCCAGAGGCCCCAGTGGCGCGAAGAGACGGGAGCATCTTGGGCCAGGACCACGCCGACGCAGCAGCACCCGAGACAGGTAGGCCGCCAGCGGCCCCGGGCCCGCGAGCGGCTCCTCTGGCACAATAGCTGCACGAGCATAAAAACAAACAGTCGGAGCTCCACGAGGAGGAGGAGGAGGAGGAGGAGGAGGAGGAGGAGGAGGAGGAGGAGGAGGAGGAGGAGGAGGAGGAGGAGGAGGAGGAGGAGGAGGGGGAGTGGCTTCTTGGACCAACGCTGGCAAGGGCGGCGCTGGAGGCGCCACCTGGAGGGGGCCCAGCGCCGATCCAAGAAAGCCGCGCGGAGCTCCGAGGGCTCGTGATTGTGCCCGTGCTCCTGTTTAGATTCGGCAGCCACATCCGAACCCTACCCCTGCAGGTCAGTCTTCCGAGAAACCAGCCGGGTTCATCGGACTCTGAAGGATGCCTGCAACCAAGTGAGCGACGAAAAGAAACGGATCTTACGCGAGATGGCACAGCGACCTTACGCGGCGGCTTACGCGGGCCGCTGGCGCGGCACGCCACGGGCGCTTACGCGCGAGCTTACCCGAGAAGCTTAATTACGCGCCAGACCACCCGGCAAGCTTACGGGCCAGACCCGTTTTTTGTCGCCGCCCAAGTGAACCCCAGCGGGGGTGTCCGATACGACACTCCAGCGTCGGTTGGGCCCTCAGGGGCAGGGCTCGCAAGAGGCCGCAAGTCGATCCTCCTCGCAGCTCCGCAGCCTGGGCGGCAGCTCGTGCCACCACCGCGTCCCGAGCGCACATGGCGGGCCCGCCGGGGCCGCCGCGGCGGCCTCCGCCGCCGACGCCTGCGCGGCCGCGGCGAGGGCGGCGCGCAGGCGCTCCGCTTGCGCCAGCAGCCCGACGGCGCCGCGGCCGCCCACGCCAGCGGCCTCGTGCAGCCGCGCGAGGAACAGCGCGCGCCGCAGCGCGGCGGCCTGCAGCAGCTGCTCCAGCTGCGCCACGCGCGCTGGTCCGCCGCGCGGCAGCGCAGGGGTCGGCGCCGCGGAGGCCGCCGCGGCGGGGCAGGCCGCCAGCGCCGCGGCGCGGTGCGCCTGGGCAGCCTCATGCCGCCGGCGGGCGCATGACAACCGGACCTGCAGCTCCTCCACCTCGAAAGCGGCGACGGGCGACGGCAACGGACGACGACGACGGCGAGGACGGCGAACACGACGGCGACGACGACGACGACGACGGCGACGACGACGACGACGACGACGGCGACGGCGACGGCGGCGGCGGCGGCGGCGGCGGCGGCGGCGACGACGACGACGACGACGACGACGACGACGACGACCTCGAAGGCGGCGCGCTCTGCGTCCGTGGCCGAGGGCTGCCCCGCGTGCGGTGCGCCCTCCTCGGCGGCTGGTGGCGCCCGCGCCGGCCCGGGGCCTCCCGCGCAGGGGCGCTCGGCGGCGGGCGCCGCGGCGGGCGCCGCGGGCGGCGCCTGCTGCGCGAAGGACGCCGCGGCGGCCAGCAGCTCGCCGATGTCTGCGCTGCGGCCGGCAGCCATGGCGCGGTGCGCGGGGCTCGAGCAGAGGCGGCTGCGCACGAGGTGCGAGGGCCCTGAGGTCCTGGCGCTGCAACTCCTTCACGACGGGCGTGCTCGCTCGGCCTCGGGCCCCGGGGCCCTCGCGGATCAGCCCGGCTCGAAACAAGCGGGGCAGGAAGACGCAGGCGTCGGAAGCAGTTGAGCAACACTCACGCGCAACGCATGGTGTGAACGCGTCCCCCCGCCGCCCGCCCCCCGAATGCAGTGTTGGGCTCGGATGTCCCGAGTTTGAACATCGGACCAGTGATGCGTATACGTGCCAACTTTGACTTGCGGGGGGGACGGGGAAGAAATGCTCAATTATCCCAGTGCGACCCTACCTAGGAGTTGGAGCATTCAGGAAAGCAACAGCTAAGCTAAGCTAAGCTAAGCTAAGATGGGGTAAGCTAAGCTAAGCTAAGCTAAGCTAAGCTAAGCTAAGCGAAGCGAAGCGAAGCGAAGCTAAGCTAAGCTAAGCGAAGCGAAGCGAAGCTAAGCTAAGCTAAGCTAAGCTAAGCTGGCTAAAAGCTAAGCTAAGCTAAGCTGAGCTGAGCTAAGCTAAGCTAAGCTAGGCTAGGCTAGGCTAGCTAAGCTAAAGCTAAGCTAAGCTAAGCTGAAGCTAAGCTAAAGCTAAGCTAAGCTAAGCTAAAGCTAAGCTAAGCTAAGCTAAGCTAAGCTAAGGGTAAGTTAAGTACTAAAGCTGGCTAAGAGCTAAGCTAAGCTGAAGCTAGAAGCTAGCGCAAGCTAAGCTAAGCTAAGCTGGTAGCTAAGCTAAGCTAAGCTAAGCTAAGCTAAGCTAAGCTAAGCTAAGCTAAGCTAGCTAAGCTAAAGCTAGCGAGCTAGCTCAGGGTAAGTTAAGCAAAGCTAAGCTGGGCTAGGCAAAGCTAAGCTAAGCTAAGCTGAGCTGAGCTAAGCTAAGCTAAGCTAGGCTAGGCTAGGCTAGGCAAAGCTAAGCTAATCTAAGCTAAGCTAAGCTAAGCTAAGCTAAGCTAAGCTAAGCTAAGCTAAGCTAAGCTAAGCTAAGCTAAGCTAAGCTAAGCTAAGCTAAGCTAAGCTAAGCTAAGCTAAGCTAAGCTAAGCTAAGCTAAGCTAAGCTAGGCTAGAACCCAGGGGGCGCAACCGGGGGAACCAGGGGGGCGCAACCGGGGGAACCGCCCGGGGTGAGGCACACTGCCCGCCCCCTTTAGCCAAGAAAGTAAGAACCCTTCTAGGCAGAGCCTAGGTAGGGAATTTTTGTTCCTCAACTATGGGTCCAGCTCGCGGATCGGTCAGGCTCGAGATGGGGTGGTCCGGGCGTGGTTCTTTCCGCAACGCTGCGATCTTTGTTGCAACGTCGGATCTCAAGGGAGGCGGAGCGCCGGAAGCTTGAAGCGGAGCGCCGGAAGGCCTGAACGCTGGAGTCGTGCGCGCTCCGACGGCGAGCCCGCCCGCGCCCCTCTGGGCACGGCGTGCTGGCCGTATGGCCTCGAAGGTGAGTAGCCTCGGAGCTCTCTCATGGTGTTATCGTGGATGATGATGTCCAGGCGGTCTTTGGTGGCGCGCAAGGGGGGTAGGCTTCTTAGAAGGAGGCTGTCTCTCAGAAGGCGCCGGCCTTACATCTACAGACAAGGCCCGCGCCTTCTAAGAAGCAGCGGTACTTCTAATTATTCACTGCGTGGGGATCCCCATATGTGCATCTCCTTGCTGGCGCTCCCTTGGTGGTGGGACTCGGTGAGGACGAATCTGGATTTAAGTGTGACTGAGCTGCCTCTCTCTCTGCTCTCTCTGCTCTCTCTGTCTCTCTCTCTCTCTGCCCTCTCTCTCTGTCTCTGCCTCTCTTTCCCTGCCTCTCTCTCTCTCTGCCTCTCTCTCTGCCTCTGTCTCTCTGCCTCTCTCTCTCTGCCTCTCTCTCTGTGCCTCTCTCTCTCTGCCTCTATATCTGCCTCTCTCTCTCTCTCTCTCTCTCTCTCTCTCTCTCTCCTCTCTCTCTTCTCTCTATTCTCTCTCTCTGCTCTCTCCTCTCTCTCTCACTCTCCCTCTCTCTCTCTCTCTCTCGCTATCTCTCTTCTCTTCTCTTCTCTTCTCTTCTCTTCTCTCTCTCTCTCTATCTCTCTCTCTCTCTCTCTCTCTCTTTCTCTCTATCTCTCTCTCTCTCTCTCTTCTCTCTCTCTCTCTCTTTCGCTCTCTCGCTCTCTCTTGCTCTCTCTCGCTCTCTGTCGCTCTCTCTCGCTCTCTCTCTCTCTCTCTCTCGCTCTCTCTCTCTCTCTCGCTCTCACTCGCTCTCTCTCTCGCTCTCTCTCGCTCTCCCTCGCTCTCTCCCGCTCTCTCTCTCTCTCTCTCTCTCTCTCTCTCTCTCTCTCTCTCTCTGCTCTCTCTCTCTCTTCTCTCGCTCTCTCCGCTCTCCTCTCTCGTCTCTCTCTCTCTCTTTATCTCTCTCTCTCTCTCTCTCTCTCTCTCTCTCTCTCTCTCTTCTCGCTCTCTTCTCTCTCTCTCTCTCTCTCTCTCTCTCTCCCCCCCCCCCCCCTCTCTTTCCACTTTCTCTCTCTCTCTCTCTCTCTCTCTCTCTCTCTCTCTCTCCTCTCTCTCTCTCTCTCTCTCTCTCTATCTCTATCTCTCTCTCTCTTCTCTCTTCTCTCTCTCTCTCTCTCTCTCTCTCTCTCTCTCTCTCTCTTCTCTCTTTCTCTCGCCTGTCTCCTCTCTCAACTCCCCCTCTCTCTCTCCGCTCTCTCTCTCTCTCTCTCCTCTCCCTCTCTCTCGCTTCCTCTCTCTCTCTCTCTCTCTCTTTCTTTCTCTCTCTCTCTCTCTCTCTCTCTCTCTCTCTCTCTCTCTCTCTCTCTCTCTCTCTCTCTCTCTCTCTCTCTCTCTCTAGTCTCGGCTCGAGAGTGCTCTGCACTCAGACCGCAGCCGCGACGCGAAGCGCCCCGCCTCGGAGTCAGACTCCCAGGCCTCGCGAGACCGGAGGGGCCCCAGCAGGACCCTACTGATTCGCGTCACCTCTCCGCACCAGAGTGCCCGCAGCAATGGCCCCCAAGAAGCCGGAGCGCCGTCGCTCTTCAAAGCAGCCTCCGAGCTCCCGTCCCACGCGCCCTGCTGCTGAAGGGTCCCTCCTTCAACGCAAGCAGGACTGCATCGCAGCGTTCAGGCAAGCGGGGTCTGACCGCCCCACGGCCGCCTACAACGGGCTAGCCGAACTGAACGCGGACGAGCTCCAGGCAATGTACGACATGCACAAGTCCAACACGAAGAAGCTCGGCAGCGCCCTTATCCGCATGTGCGCCGCCAACCAGATTAGCTACACGCTCGATCACCACCAGCGCAGCAAGCCTAAGCGCACTGGCGGTGACACATCGCATCCACCAGCGGGCTCCGCACGTCTTCAGGCTGCGGACACCCAATTCGTCGCCTTGGACCCTGCCTTTTGGAAGGTCCCTGTCCTTGCCGAACCCACCTCGCCTGACGACGGCAAGACGTACAAGCCCAGCATCAGCCTCCACGACTCCGAGAGTGGCGAATGGCTGCTGCAACACCACCTCGGGCAGGGCAAGCGAGCCACGGGCCAGCTCGCGATTGCTGTCATGGGCCCGAAAAACGACAACTACGTCGGTACCGAGCTCGCCGTCCCCGTCCTGAAGCGCCACCCCAAGGCGCCCAAAGTGGTCCACACGCACGTCCCCGTGATCGTGTACCAGCTGGGCACCAAGGAGGTCGCCTGCACGGAAAAGGTAGCCGTCGCCACCATCGACCCCGCCGACCACGTCTGCTGGATTCGGGCGACCATACACGAGACCGAGGCCATTGCCGCAGTCCCCTCCATGCACCAGGCCTTCGAGGACCAGTTCTCGGGAGGTGCCCCCGTGAACGGTGGTCCACGCGCCAAGGGCCCTTTTCGAGGCGACTCCGCTCCACAGGACAAGGCGCGCCAAAAGCACAAGGAGTCCAAGAAAGACGCTCGCCGCCAGGAGCTCGATGGCCAGCTCCAGGACACCTTCAAGGCCCTCTTCCACGGCAACTTTAAAGCCGTCACCATCCTCGAACCCTGCAAAAGCCTAGGCAGGTTTGGATCGGGCGTCGGAAAGAGGTCCCTGGCTGCCACCTTCGGCGTCAGTCTCCAAGCGGTCGACAAGGTCCTGGCGGGATCAGGGCAACTCGGTGCCACCTACGACCTCAGCAACGTAGGTGCAGACGAGCCCACCGCCGACAAGTATCAGACCGTTTGGTTCCCTGAGGACCAGCCCATCACGATGGCAGACGCGTTCCAGAAGTCGGTGGAGTTCAAGGCCCTGGGAGTCGTCAGGCACGGCAAGTCAGGCCTGCTGGGGATCCGTGTTCCGCGGGGGTCCGACGTCGCCAAGGCCGCTGCTGTCAGCATCCGCGGCTGCGAGGCTACCCTCGCCAAGACGCGCTACCGCATCACTGGCATTGCGGCACGCCACGCCACGCTGACCCAGCTCGCCAAGACTCTCACGGGCCCGTCCGTTAAATGGGACTGTGAGGTCTACCACACCGCCTGGGACCCAGCCACTGCGGCCCAGTTTGCCTTAGTGCGCGCTCATCGGCCCCCACTCACCTATACGGTGCAGGTCGCGGGGTGCCCCATCCCGTGGAGCATCACCGAGGCCCCGCTGGCTGAGGTGGCGCCGAAGCGGGACAACGTTACCATCGTCACGCCTACCACCATCACAGAGCCTGTGACGCCGCCAGCCCGTGGTGGCGGCTTCAGCCCCGCCACCGGCACACTCCTCACCAAAGCGGCCCAGAGCCCCTACCTCCACGACCTCATGACTGCCACGCCCAAAGGCAAGGGCGTCGCACCGCTCCTGACCCCCAAGGAGGAGCCTTCAGCCAAGCGCCACCGCTCCTCCAGCGGGAAACGTGACGCCACGCCGCACGCAAGGCCACCCTGCGCCCCAGGCCGCAGCTCCTCTGCGCCCCCGCACGGCACGGACGGAGCCGCTGAACCGACGGCCGCCCCAGGACCAGGTGGCCACGACCCCTGGCTTGGCACGGCGGCGGCAGAAGGTGGGGGCCACACCGAAGGCGACGCTGCCACAGCCGCCGAAGTAC